ATTGTAGTGCCAGGAAGGGTGCAGAGCTCGTTCTGTGATCTGGCAGACAGGTAAAGGAGAGTCCTGGAGCCCTTGGTTGCTTTCTCAGGCTTTTATTGAGCTTTACATGTAGTGCAGCAACCAAGTACATGGCTGGCAGGCCTCCCAGCCCCAGGCAAATCTTCACTCTGTACCCTGGGTTCTCTGGTGTTCTCTCTTCCTCTCTTTCTCTCTCTTTCTCCCTCTCCCTTCTGCCTCTGCTTCTCCTGGCAAATATATCAATACTCCAGGCATGGCCCACAGAAGTAAACAACACAACTTATAACAATGTAACAAAATGCAGGTGCCCCATCTGGCATGGCAATCCTAATGGTGGGAGGCCAGAAAAGCCTGAAGATCATTTACCCTACAGGGTTGTTTGGCATCATCACAATCATTTTCCCAAGGGGGCTCACAAGAGAACCTATGTGGGCCCACCCAGTCTTGGAGCTCAAATGTGGTTATACCAATTTGGGAGAGAATGAGGATAGCAGTTTAGCCTAAGAGACACAATAGCTCTCTCTCCTGGCTCATTCAGCAAGTGTTAAAAACCATATGTGCTTACTTACCCTAGGGAGGCAAAGAGTTGGTGGAAGCCTGCAGAATCTCTGTGCTAATTGTTGAGGGTTGTAGCCTCTATGAGGCCAGATCAGAAAGACCAGGGGTAGGGCTGTTATGAATGTTTAACACTTGCTATATGGAGCACAGGGTGTCAGATGTGCAACCATGGTTTTATAACAAACCACATGAGACATTTAAGTAGAGAAGTTTATTACAAGTCCTAGAAAAAGGACACAACTACCATGTGAAGCCTGGGAGAGGTCAAGACAGTGTGACGACAGACAGGAACTGGGGCTTGTGCCATTGCTAGGGGTTCAGGGTGAAGTGCTTTGGAGTTCTTGAGCTAGGGCTAGATTGGTGAGTTCAAACAAAAGAGAGACTGGTTTTGGTAAGCTCCACACTTATCTTACCTAGAAGTTGCATGAGTCATACAGGCATTGGGCGAAAGGGGAGATTTGATCACAACTGCTATTGTGGAAGTGATGAGGACTTATATTCACTGGCCTGAGTTTGCACTGTTTGGTTGGTGGGTCCTCATCTATACACTTGCAACTGCAAGACACAACTCAGTTTCAGGGTGCAACAATGGAGTTCATTAACAAAGGGGAAATTGGGGAAAAGGAAAGAATTTCTAAGGTCATAAGTGCCCAGCTGTCCTAGCCCAGATAGTGTCTGCAGTGTCCAGTAATTCAAGGCAAAGGCTGCTTGTGTAAGATGGTGTTGCCTCTTCCACAAGAGCCTGGAGCTGGTGGCACTGATTGGTGGACCAGGATCCAACTTACAGTGGTGACTGGAGGTGATCAAAGGTAGTGCTGCTGAGGTGGCATTTCAGCAGCCAGCAACACCTTATGGAAGCTTCGCTGGGAAGCACCAGACACCAGACCAGACAGCATCAGAGGCAACTGTATCAGGAGATGGTGCTGGGGGATCAGAAGTGGAGGGCAGCTTTCAAAGGTAGCTTGACTCATGTCAGCTCCAGTCAGCAAACAGCAGGACCAGAGACATCAGTGTTACAGCTCTTAGAGATACTGGGCATAAACCACTGGCAGACATCTCTCTTAGAGATGATGCCAGGAAACCCAGCACCAAGGTACAAGTCCTTCAAAGACACCAGGCATATGGTGACAGGAGGGATGTTGGAGGCAAGAACAAGAGATAGGAGCAGCAGTGAGGCTGCAGTTTGAAACAGAGGCCAGAAAAGAACTTCACAGAGGCCTTGGAGGTCTGGGGAGGTCTGCAAAGGTCTGTAAAGTTCTGTGAAGTTCTGCAAAATTTTGCAAAGTCTTAGAAAAAAAGTACTTCCCAGGAGAGAGTCTGGACAAGTCTCTCTGAAGCCATATGATGAATGACCTGCAGCCAGACACTGTCCTGGCTTATATCCTTTCAAGTCTGACTCGGCCATTTGCATTTCAGGTCCTGCTCAAGGTCAAATCCATTTGGTCTGTTTACAATCCTAAATGATCTCTAAACCCTAAATTAACACAGCACATTTACAGGTAACAGAAATTTCCTGTATGTCATCCATACACCTATTTTCAGAATAGGAAATAAGAAGGAGAAATGAGACTCTTATCATAAAAACCCATCAGCCAGCTATCTCCCCAGAAAGTTTGGATGGCCAACATTTCTGGACACAGAATATAGATCCCCCAAATAGAGTGGGACCCCTCTTTTATCCTTAGATTCTTCTGCACAAATTCAAATTAGATAAAGTAAACCCAATTTTATTCTTCAGAATAATTCAGTGCTCATCCTTTTTCTTATCTAAGTTACATGAAAACCCCATGAAATATATTTCATTACCAAAAAAATTTAAAACTGTCTTCCCATAGTAAAAATCAAACAATACTCAATGTTTTTGGTTGCTGAGCACAGGCATGAACTCACTTCTCTCACAGCCACACCCCAGGGGTCTGTCCTCAGAGCAGCAGGATGAGACTCTCTGTTACCCAAGACTCACTCAGAGGCTGTGCCAGAGAGTGTTCACTCAAAGACCTTCTGTGAAGGTGAGGGTCAGTGATGGGGCCCTAGGGGTACATAGCCTCAGAGTTGGAGGGGAGGAGGGAGGCTTCAGCCCCATCCACACCAGAGCCTGAGGGGATCCCCTCCCCTAGGAGACCCACAAGCTCCTCCAGAGAAGGAGAATTGTTCATGGGCACAGAGGGTTTCTCGGGCCCAGCCTCCAGGGGGCAGAGGGTCATAGACATGTCTCCTGAGACACATTTGAAGTATGGAAGGAGGGTCCCAGAGAAGGACTCACGAGGGAAGGTGAAGATGTGGGAGCCATCAGGCATGTCATAGAAGGAGACGTCCCCGTGATCATAGTCCAGGAAAACCCCTATCCTGTGGGGAAACTGCCTCAGGGGTAGTGGAGTGATATCAATTGTAGAGGGACAAAATCCTAATTCAACATGCCCCACAGTCCAAAACCCCCTTTCTGTGAGCTCTTTATACCAGCCTTTCCTGTTTGCATCACTCCTACAGACGCCCAGAAACCACACACTTCTGTCTCCATTCTTGACCTCCACCTCCCAGTAACAGCGTCCTGACGTGATGCCTTCAAGGCCCAGGATGCTGCAGGAGTCTCCTGCATCCTCATAGGAGTCCTTCAAGGTCAGAATCTTCTTGTCAGGAGAGAGGACGATTCTGTCATGAGCAGAGCCTGGATCTAGAGTGACAGACCCTGCAGAGAGAAGAACCAAGTATGCAAGAACACCCTGACCTTTAACAAGGGCACACAGCTCACCTCAGACCCTTAGTTGCATGGTGGGAGGACTCACCACTTTACCGCAGACCCTTAGCTGCAGGGAGGGATAAACTACATGAGATGAAAGTGTTGTGACATGAAGCCCACAGTCCTCTAAGCAGGGAAAGAACCACAAGCCTGACTTGAGGGTTAGCTGTGTCACGTGGCTATATGGGACTAGCCTGGACCAATATCAGCCACATCCACCAGCCACAATTATGTTACTCTCACAACCACATCCCACCCCCCCAACACCGATGGTGCCAGCATCTATATCAGCATGGAGGACTGATGGAGAAGCCAGAAGCTGTGGGGCGGCATGAGGAGGAGCACCCAGAAAGGACACAAATTCACTCACAGGCCTGGAACTTCTCCTTTCTCCAATCTGCAAGAAATCACACATTTCACTTGAGGGATGCAGAGACCCACACATCAGGACTAGCACCTCATCTTCTGAAACATTGTGATGGAAGATTTACAGAAAAAGTGTTCTGGAAACATTAATCTGATACATCTTTCTTTCTTATAGACACACACATACACACACAACACACAAACACACTGCAACCTTCCCATGAAGACTAAGCCAGGAATTTTAATACCCAGAGATTAAGAGATGGAGGATCAACCTGAACAAAATGGTTATTACCCAGACTTTACTATGAAAGTAAGCTTTTTCTAGTCTCTAGCCTCATTTTTTCTTGAAAAAAGTAATAGATAAAATTTTCAAAGACTTCTATTACTTATAAAGAACTAATTAAATTGACTTTAAGGTTGCCTTTAAGCCACAAGTAGAGAGAATTACAATTTGATTTAGCTGAACATGGAAGAAAACTATCAAGCATGAGTGAAGGGAAGTCAGGATACAGCATTAGAGAAATCTTGCCCAGTTAAGAGACAAAAGGGAGGTTTTGAGGAAGGGAGAGAGGTTCTAAGTTGGAAACAAATATATGCATTGAGAGCATATATGTGTCTTTTATTATGTATATCAAGTGGAGGTGGTAGCGGATACGTTATATAGATATGGGAAAATCAAAAAAATAAATGAATCTAATCTTCTGCTCCCCCAAGAATCATTGCGAAAGAGTGAAAACATAGAGGAGAAACCCCACTGGGGTAAGTCCCAAAAGATGCCCATGTCCTAAACCCCAGACATGTCAATGTCACACATGGAAAAGTGAACTTTACAGCTGTGATCTAGACAATGAAATTTTAGATGGAGATTAGGAAGGAATATGCAGGCAGACCTAAATTAACCCTGTGAATCCTTAAAAGCAAAGGGCTTTCTAGGCTTTGTACTCAGAGAAATAGATGTGACGACAGAAGCAGAGTCAGAGACATGTGGTGTTTGCTGGCTGAAGACAGAAGAAAAGGCCCATAAATGAAGGAATGCATGAGTCCTCCAGAAGCTGGGAAAGATGAGAGCCTCCAGAAACAGAACACAGCCCTTGCTGTACATTGATGGAGTCTGACCTACAGAGAGAGAAGACAGAAAATCTGTTAATCTAAGCTGCTAATTTTTTGGTCATTTGTGTTAGGAGTTGGCGCCTCAACTCCGTCCAGTGTTCCCAAAGACTACATGGAGCCAGAGATGCAAAAGCAAAAAAGGCTTTATTGCTAGCTTAAGCTAGGGTCCGACTCTGCCTGGTGTACTGACACAGCAGTCTCATCAGGTTAAGAGAGGGACCCTAGCTTAAGCTAGCAATAAAGCCTTTTTGCTTTTGCATCTCTGGCTCCGTGTAGTCTTTGGGAACCCTGGATGGAGTTGAGGCGCCAACTCCTAACATTTTGGGGGCTCGTCCGGGATCCCCAATTGCTACACGAGGTGGCCAGAGAAAGGCTTAGGCCAGAGGAGGACATCTGATTTCTGGTGTATCGGGCTTCCTGTGTCAGGCGGACGCGCCAGAAGGCCAGGGGCACGGGGTTTGGAGAGACATCTCAAACCCGCGGTGGCTGACGCCCAGAGAAATTCAGATTTTTCTGGGGCGTACGAGGCCATTGGGCTCCGATGCGTATTCCGGAACCTGTTCCGATGCATATTCCGGAACCAGTCCCGAGGCGTATTCCGGGACATTGATGCCTAATTCCGATGCGTATTCCGGAACCCGTCCAGAGGCATAGGCCGGGACAGGAAGGCAAATTTGGAAAACGATCACTGTCCTCTCTGGTAAGCCCGAGGGCCTGTTTCTGTTGTCTGTAGTCTTTTGTCCATGTCTCCTGGTGTCTGTTGTACTTGTTGCGTTTGTGTTTGTAATCATGGGTCAGACAATGTCTACCCCACTGTCTTTGGTCCCAGTCAAGGCAAAAAGTAAAATGCTGAGGACTAAAAAATAAGGGACCCACTACAACTGACTGGTGGAGGACTGCCTCTGGTCTCAGCAAGCAGCTGGCTGGACTTTTTCTCCAGAGTTGAGATCATTGGTATGTCTCTGCTGCCATCCAGCTGTGGGGGAATTGGACTCTCCCTTTGTCCACCCTGCAAAACTATTTTGGTTCATTCTAGGGAAAAAAGTTTTATTTCCCTGTGTTTTTCTGATTTTAAAGTCTGGATTGTTTAAGGTAAAAACTGCTGAGTTGCTTTGGACTTGCTAACGAGCCATAAAAGGTAATTTTTTTGATTGAGTGAAAACTTCTAAATTGCTTATTGGATCTGTAAAAGTTTAGTTTCTTATTAAGACTAATTAATTTCTGATAAGAGTCTGAAAACAGGCAAACTGTAAAGAAAGATTTTATTCTTCCTCTTCTCCTGTCCACCCATATATGGTTCTGAAAGAAAAAAATGTCTTTTGTCTTAAAAAAAATGTGCTTGGTCTCAATGAGACACAACTAAAACGATGTAAAGCTAAATAATAATTCTTAAAAAGAAGAAAAAATGCAAACTTGAAATGTCTTTCTTATCTACGAAAGTTAGTGCAAACTGCTTGACTTTAAATTTGTTGTGGTCTTGGACCCTAGGTTCTAAGTAAGGGTTAGAATTAAATACTTGTCGTATTTAAGGATTGTAACTTCTATGTTATTAAAAAAAAAACCTGCTTAAAAAAAAAAAAACATTAAAAACTTGGTTAAATAAATGTGTCAAACTTAAAAAGTTTGTTACTAAAGAACTGGAGTTTCCTAAATTGTAGTTTCTCAGTGTATTTGCAAATATTGGTAAAAATAACTGAAATCAAGAGATCTCTTTGTTCTTGCTTTTTGCCTCCGGAGGGTTAATTATAAATGGCGCCTATAAAAAAAATCCTAAATTCTAAAATTGTGATCTAAAATTGTGGTAGAAAAAAAAAAAAACTTGGTATATAATACTGTTACAGTGGCAACTCTGAAGTTGACTTAAAATTCCAGTTCCAAGGGAAAACTAAAACTAAACTAAGGTTTTGCTAAGCTTAGTAATAAAAAATTGTTAACCATTTACTGAACTTTCAGGTTTACATTTTGTTCCTTATTGTAAGGAAACTAAAGTTTAATATCATGTCAAGTAAAAATTTTTTAAAATGTGTCTAACTTGTGTAGTCTAAAGAGATGATAATGTAACAGCTATTACGGTGTCTTACAATGCAGAAATTAAAAACTAGGACAGGTAAAAAAATAATAATAACAATAAAGTAAAATAATTTATACCAAACACCTGTTTTATAGTTAATGACAGGAATGGTGAAAAACTAGTTAGCTTCTTCACAAAAGAGGCAGCATAATAACTTTTGTGTTTTCTGTATTTTTTTCTCTTCAGTATTATATGTAGACACTATGTAAAAAAAAATGTTATACTGTTCAATTGTTCACATTTGGAAAAATATTATTCACTGTTTTGGTATTACTTAATATCCAAGTGTTCTCTAATCTCTATTATATAGAGACTGTATAAAACCTATAAAATTGTATAATTAAAACATGTATCTTTAGCCAGCCTTGTTCTGACATCAGGTGCAGGCACCAGAGACTAAATCAAGGGCCTAAAATCCTTTTAACACTTTTAGACACAGACTTCAAGGCCTACAGTAATATGGAGGGGACTGGCTAGACAAAAAAAAAAGCCCAATAAATGGCAGTTGCCATCACAGTACTCTGCCACCTCAGCCTCACCCAAGGCCCCATGCTCCCTAGGGCATTCGGGACCTCAACCTCTTAATGGGCTGCCAGCTTGCTTCCACTGCCAGCAACCAGGACACCTCAGTTGCAAAAAGCTGTCCCCAGGGCCATGCCTTCAGTGCCATCGCACAGGGCACTGAAAAGAGGGACTGTCCTACTCTCCAGAGAGGGAGGGAGCCAGCCCAAACCACGGGCCAGGATGGGAGGACAGGCTTGACGGTCAGCTGCCTCTGATGAAGAACGTGGTGCAGGAGAAGACCTTCTCTGAAGAAGCCCAGAGGTGAGACAGGCTCCCCAGTTTACTGTTTATATGGATAAGCCTCGGGTGACCCTAGAAGTGCCAGACAAAAAAATAAATCACCTTTCTGGTAAATAAGGGGCCACTTGCTATGCCTTACTCCAATTCTTTGGATTGACCTACTGGTCGATTGTCCCCTTCACTAGTGCAGATGGCCAGCATGAGCCAGGATACTTTACAGCACTGCTACCTTGCTCACTATGAGACTACTTGTTTATATTTTTTGTCATTGACAAAATTACACCAAAAATGTTTATAAAAGTTTATCTTTAAGATTGTCTTATAAAACATAAAAATATAATTGTGAAGGATTTTTGTTTGCATAATCATAGTTGGCCAGGTATCGTCGTGCATTAATGTTGAGCATTGGTTCACAGGAACTGTTCATTGTAAATTTTGGTTGGTACCGGTGAGTCTGTGATCTTGCAACTTGTCTGTTCACGTTTGAAAAAAATTATGATGTAAAATTTCTATTTCTCTGTAAAAAATAGGTGCAATAATAATCAAAGCTTTGATGTCCTAAGTCTTCATCTTGAAGGATTAAGTATGTATAAAACCCTAAAGCCCTAGACCTGTTAATGGCTAAAGTTAAAAAGAAAAAAAAAATTGTGACCCCCTTCTAAAAACTTTTGTTTTTGTTTTTCTCTTGCTTGGGCCTTACATCGTCAATGCCTTCATCGAGGTCATTTCTCGCCTCTAGACCATCAAATTATAAAGCCTCCACTGTCCTTTCGAAGTCCTTCAATCGTCATCTTGCGGTGGAGCCCTGACTATTTCCCCTCATCACCCACTTTCAGCAGGAAGCAGTTACTGATCAAAACGACGCCCTTTTCCCTGACTGCAGTTAGGGGCTCCATTCACAAAAGGGGAAAAATAAAGCATAGGACAAGTTAGGGTAATTAGGCAGTTTTAGGAACAGTGCAGGAGGGGACCTCTAAAAAAGTTTTAAAAGGCTTCAAAAATAAAGACAACTAAAGAAATGTGTTAACACTGGCCTTAGTTTCCTTCAGGTAATAACGAAGAGTGGTTTAATTAGGGCAGGAGACTCATTTATGAAAAGAAAAAAAAAAAAGGTTAGCATTAAGACTGATGGGTGGCAGCCTGTTTTTCTTCAATAGCTAATGTTTAGTGACCAGATAAATAACTCTGTGACTGGCTAACTAAAAGAAATCCCTTGTTTGAGCAGAGTAATTCTCATTTAAGAATGGCAATTTTTCAACTTTGTCAAACCCTTAGTGTTGCTCATGCTAATGCTAACATTTGGCCTTTTTATACTCAATCGCTTGCAAATGCTGGTCTTACACAGTCAATACCTTAAAGTAGAAGAAGACCAACTGTGAGGCTAGGATTAGCCTCCTCTCACAGTTACAAGAAAAAGGGGGGATTGTAAGATATTAAAGAATTAGGCATAGCAAGACAGCAGCTATTTTAAGAAAAACAGACATTTTAAAGGGCACAGCTATGCCCTAGTTTCATTTCAAGGCAAAAACAACCAGACTGGGGTAAAAACCACAAGACAAGGGTAAACAAAACTTAACTAGTGCCAAGGAGAGATACCCAATCAGGCCAAACTTGGCCCCTGGTGTGAAAAGTCCCTGCATCCTGTCAGCAAAGTACGAAAACAGTTGGTTGCCCTGGGAGGGGGTCCCTCTCTTAACCTGATGAGACTGCTATGTCAGTACACCAGGATGAGTCGGACCCTAGCTTAAGCTAGCAATAAAGCCTTTTTGCTTTTGCATCTCTGGCTCTGTGTAGTCTTTGGGAACCCTGGATGGAGTTGAGGCGCCAACTCCTAACAATTTGCAGCAGTTAAGAGAATACATAGTATCATGTATGGTGCTTGCCACATCCAACATAGAATTTGATCCTGGCAGAGAAAGGGTTGAGAAAACCTGAGGGGCCCCCATCACCTGGACAAAAACCAAAAAAAATTCCATGCTCTGCTGGAAGGTGGAGAACCAGAGTGGTACACAGAGACAGAAATCAGGGGAGGGCCTGGGTCAAGAGGAGGAAGCCATAAACCATATGCATCCAAGTGACCAAGTCTGTGGATTTCACCCTGGAGTGAGGTGGGTGGACAATGCCTCAGACAGCTAGACAGGTCTGTGCCTCCTCCATAGACACCAAGCCCAAGATCTTAAGAATCAGATCAGGCAAGCCTCCCCAGGGTGAGGACTGAAATAACTGAAAGAAAATCATGGGGAGCCCTCTGCCCCATTGTGGCCACACCCATAAAATCTCCAACCACCATAATTCCTTTGGGAAGAAGAAATGAAGATCACTGACCAATGCAAAGCCAATAGATGTCCAAAGATCCTGAAATGTCTTCAGAGGGGAGATTCATTGCTTTCAAAGGACCAAGACTCAGGATTGAGATTAGAACATTTAGGGAATTAAATAAACTACATTTTCTTGCACATTTGGGATGTAAATAGGTGACTATTATTTCCACTTAGAAAAGTTCATTCAGATATATTGATATTTCCATCTCTATCGATGTTCTAGACACAGAAAAACACATAAAATATTGGGCTAACCCATGGGACCCTCTGAGAAAAGTTAACTTTGATTTTCTTTACCAAGACATTAGTTGATACTCAATTATAAATTTTTATATAGCAATAGAGGAGATTACCAAAGGAAAGGCAGAAAAACAAGAAATAGGAGAGAAGGGAGTTGGGCATTTAAATTTGGGACTTTATATATATTGACCACTATGTGATTCTTCAGTTAATTTCCACACCATATCATTAAAATATATATATATATATTTTTATTTTATGAATAAAATGAGGTTGGAAGTTTGTCTTCTCCACATAGGAACATGCCAAAATGAAAATGTTAATTCTAGTATAATGGCATTTATCCTTATGAATTAAAGGTATATAAGGCACACATTACAACACCAATACTTTATCAGCAGAGGAAGGAGAGATGGTAAAAGGGAATCATCGGATCCTCATAATAACAAACAAATCCCAAAAACAGTGAGACTCTCTAAGAAGTGTTCCTCACACATCTGGCCCCCCCAGAGCCCTTCACGCCAGGGCTCACCCATCCCTCATCCCTGTTTCTCACAGTCTCTACCCCTGACACCAAACAGAATCATCCAGAACCAAAAAAAGGGAAAGCTACACAGACTGGGAGGACACTGACCCTCACATGCTCAGCCCTGCTAGTCCTCAAATACTTCTCTGCAGCAGAACCCACAGCTCCATCCCACCTGACTGCTGTGCAGGCTGAGCAGAGCCCACTGTCAGAAGCAAGCCCAGTTTGATGGTTACCTCAAAAATGGCTTAAATAAATAAGTTTTTACTGAAATCTCTCAAAGAGACATTAAGAAGTTGATTACATTTCTTACATCCAAATAACTCAAAAACCCTCTGGAGCCTCCCCAGCTCAAACCACCATGCTGTCACCTGTGGTCCCACCAACCCCAGCCAGACAACACCTGTGTAAGGCAAATCTTGCAACTCTACTCTCCATCTCATCCCTATGCTCTTCCCACTGAATCTTTGCTCTTCCTCCTCACTCCACCCCCACCAACCATCCTTATTTTCTCCCCATGCTTTCCCTTGTAACCAATTTTAACTCTGCCAAATGTCTTGTATAAAATTGTCACACAATAAACTCAACCAAAGCCAAGCATCAGGCCTACCAAAATTCTCCTAAAGTGGGAGACTATGGTTGTGAACCATTAAGTGTCACATTTATTTTCCTGTTATACAAACATATACACAGGATTTTGCATTAATTTCAGATCTTTCACAAACCCTACACAAGAGCATAAACTTCCCAGAGGGTCTGAGATCTAGATGCACAACACCTGCCCAAAAGTAACTGATTCCTCAGCAACCAAGGTGGCCTAGAAGGAGAAAGCTGGCAAGACGCAAAATGAGGAAGAAGGATCCCAAACCAAGGACCCCTTAGCAAGATCTGAGACCTAAGCAAACCAGGAGAATTTCTGGAATCTAAAGATCAGCAATTTCTGATGTAAACAACTGTTAACTGCTTAGTCTCTCCTCACACTGACCTCCCCAGTGTCCTCACGACAGGAAGGACTAGGTGACAAGGGGTCAGAGGGTGTCCTGACCCCACATGACTTGCAGGGAGGATAAGGCAGGTGGAGGCAGGTCTGTGCTCACAAAGGGAGGGTGGGCTGCAGCTCTCAGATGGAGGCTACAGAGTGAAAGGAGACCAAGGACCCCAACCTCTTGCTGTTGGGGGTCCCCTGATAGAGAAGGGGCAGAAGGGAGGCTGGAGGGGATTCCCAGGACCCTCAGGGCCACTCACCTGCATATAGCTGGGCCTTCCTCCAGGCTGAAAGGGAACACACAGGTGAGACCTCAGCACAACCAACCGCCTGCTCATGTGAACTACAGGCTCTGGGCTCCCCCTGTTCTACAGGTGAAACTCTCTGTGGGGTCGAGGGGAGAAGGTGAGAGGTCATGACCTTCTGCCCTGTTCAGAGAGCAGGGGGTGGTAGAAAATCCCTGATTCAGGTCAGAAGCCTACAGGACAGACTGACCCAGCCCTGCCTGCTGCTGCTGTGGGGCTTTGGGCAAGTCATACAGAGACTCGGCCTCAAAAACCTCAAATATTCTTTTTTTTTTTTTAAGATTTATTTATTTATTTATACAAGCACTGGGTACAGTCAGAAGTGCGGGGGTTTGAGAGAATTCACCAGAGCCACAGAGGGGAGCAGAACAGGCAGAAGGACTGAAGTACACTGCTGAGAGGAGCAGCACAGCAGGAGAGGTCTGCATGCCATGTGGGACCCTCGCCAGTGGCCAGGGATAGAACCGGCACTGCAGAGGCTGCCGGCAGCTTCGCAACCCAGCGCTCAAGCGCTGCACCACCGGGGAGGCCCACCTCAAATATTCTTATTCTTTCTTTGCTCAGTTTTGAAACTAAGAATTAAAAATTATACTATTAAAAAATAAAATATAAACTATTCCTTATTGTAACAAAACCTAAATCCAGTCTATTTTGGGCAAAGAATGATTTAAGGATATGAGGCAAGCTCCAGCTGTTCCGGAGTGCTGACAGCCCCCACCACACTCCACGCATCGTCAACCCATCCACACTCAGCATTCATTGATCAGCAGCTTCAGATGCTGGAGAGAACAGACTGCTTGAACGCTGTCTTGGAGGCAGTGGGCAAAAGACCACACTCTTCAATTTAATGTTCCCATTTACTTATCCACATTTAATGAAACCTCAGGGCACCTGTCTGTTACTTCCAGGTGCTGACGAAGAATGAGATGCATGATGGGCCTCCCAGTGGCACAGTGGTTGAGCGCTGGGTTGCCAAGCTGCCGGCAGCCTCTGCAGTGCCGGTTCTATCCCCTGCCCCGCCAGCAAGGGTCCCACATGGCGTGCAGACCTCTCCTGCCGCCCGCTACTCCCCTCAGCAGTGTATTTCGTCAGTCTGCCTGTTCTGCTTCTCGCTCTGGCTCTGGTGAATTCTCTCACCCTCCCATGCTTCTGACTGTACCCAGTGCTTATATAAATAAAGAAATAAATCTTGAGGAAAAAAAAAAGAATGAGATGCATGGAAGGTTAGAAAGCCAGCAGCATGGTGGGAAGGTCAGGGTTGGCATGAGACCAGGATGCACAAGACTCCACAGATTACCACCCACCAGTATCCCCTGACTGGGAGAACCTGGGAACATGGTCTTGTTGCCCACCAGCTCCACTCCAGGGAAAGGGTCCCCATGTCTGTACTTAGACAGACAAAGGGGAGACACCTGGGCACAGGAGGGACAGGAGACCCAGGACATCTGGAGCATCACTCACCAGCCAGGTAAGCTGCCTTCCTCTGGTCTGAAAGACAACACAGGAATCAGGTGAGCTAAGAACCAGAATGTCTCCTATGAAGGGGACACGGAGAGTTCAGGAGGGAGAGCAGAGCTAACCTAGGATTGCCTGGAGTTCACCTGAAAGAGTGAAAACAAAAAAGCTTCAATTCCTGTCCCTAAGAAGAAAAACTGTGTGCCTAAAGGATCCACAAAACAAAAACCTCTCTATGTCATAAAATTCCCGCCTCCAGACCCATCTGAGCCTCCAAGTTCCATTGTTCTCTGGGACTCAGCCTCCTGCTCTGATCTCCCTATAAAGTGGACCCTGGGCTCTGGCTCTGTGTTCAGCTTGTCCCTCAGCACCCACTGCCACACTCACCACCCTGACCCCTGTCCTGCATTACCTGTGTCCTTCAGGGCCTCCTCCTTGGTCCGTCTGTCCTCCTCCTTAGCCTGGCACAGATTCCTCTGTTCCTGCAGCCCCTGCATCTGTGTGGAATGTTCTCTCCAGGTGTAGCAGGAAGCTCCCAGGAGCAGGAGCAGCAGCAAGGTCAGGATCACTAGGAAAGCCGGCTTCCAGGGGGAGACCCGGGGGAAGAAAGGCTCTGCAGACAGAGACCCCCATAGAGACCCCATGAGGACACAGCCCAGGGCAGCCCAGCCCTGTATGTGGCACCTGGGGGTGCCAGCCCCTCCCTCTGACCCTGCAGGGAGGGGGGAGGGGAGAGCAGCACTGACCTGGGATGACAATGGCCATGGCCTTCTCCTGGCTCAAGATGTGGTTGAGGATGGAGCAGGTCACATTCCCTGCAGAGCTGTCTCTCACCACCAGAGCGGCCTCCACGCTGAACAGTCCCTCAGTGTCCTGGGCCTGGACCTTGGAGAACCTCAGGAACTGCTCCCCACTGGGGTGTCTCCACTGTACCTGGGGCTCCGGGAACCAGCCTGAGACCATGCACACAATGCGTACCCCATCCTCCACTGGCCCTGTGATGTGCAATTGGGGGGCAGAGCCTATACCTGCAGAGGGAAGATGAGAGCAAGGTGGGGCAGGGCCACCTGTGCACACCTCCAGGAAGTCTGTCCACGGTGCATTCTGGGTAGTCTAAGGAAAGGCTGCTGCCTGCAGGGTGCAAGGCATGACCCAGTCTCAGTGTCAGATGGTTGGAGTATAGGACTGAAGGGGCATGGAGGGCAGGGGCTCCCAGGTACCAAGTTGAAAGTCAATGTCCAAAGGAAACAGAAGAAATTAGTACCAGATTCCATCCTAATCCTCCACCTTTCTCACCTCACACTCTCCTAAGGCCTCTGTTCCATACAAGCTTCCTCTCCTCTAAATCACTCCCACATTATAGTAATGACAACCCTACCTCCTGAACTGCCTTCCCTGAAATCCATATCCCTGTGTGTTATCATTTCTCCAATTCCTCAAGTACATACACATTCAAAGTTCCAGAATGAATTGACTCTACCCTATCTGTGATAGATATGAAAATATCCCCAATTATCCATCTTTATTTCTAACTTTCTCTCTGCCTCATATATTTTGGTGTCTTCTCACTGTGCCCCTGGTTGGGGTCATGACTGACTTGGCCTTGAGGCCTTGAGGTCATGACCTCCTGGTTGGGGTCATGACTGACTTGGCCTTGAGGTCAGACTCAGACTCTTGGCATAGAGCCTGCCTGGGCGCTCTCTGCCTAGGAAGGTCATGCTGGACAACCTTTTCCAGATAACACCCAGGCAGCTCACATCACGACCTTGCTACCAGACTCTAAGGACAAATAAAAACTAAAGTAAGAGACTCAATTCTCCTTATTAGAAATAAGGGAAGAGAGTCACTTCCCCTCCTTTACTCAGAGGGTTTATTTTTAAAAACTTGTACTTGTAGGTACTTTCTCTTCTTTTTGAAATGTATATAAATCCTTTTTGAAAAATAGATAGGTTTGGGGGACTCCCTGGTGGCACAAGGGGTTAAGCACAGCACTATGAAGCTATCCACAGCCTCTGCAGCAGGACTTCAATCCCAGGCCAGGGAGCTACCCACATGGCTCAGCAGACCTCTCCTGTCTCGCCCACTGCTCCCTTCAGCAGTGTATTTCAGTCAATCTGCCTGTTCTGTTCCCCACTCTGTCTCTGGTGAATCCTCTCACCCCCCACACCTCTTGCCTGTACCCAAGTTCTTATATGCATAAATAAATAAATCTTTTTTAAAAAAAGAAAAGAAAAATAGATAGGCTTTTCACCAGCTTCATGATCCTGTAATATCTTTCTCAAAGAATCCAGGACCCATCTCATGGAAATGTTAACATCAAAGGAGATAGCACTCCATGTCCCCCCTACTTGTGGGGGAGGTGCCTAACTTCTGTGGGCGCCTTGCTCCAAGTTATAAAATCACTTCTTGTCATAAAGATGTGGGAATTTATTTTTCCTTCAAATAAAGCCAATTAGCTAGAAGTCACTCCAATCACCAGCGAAGTTTTGAAGTGAAGTATGTGGGATAAATAGTTTTGTCAAGTCCTTTCATATGAAAGGTGATGATTGTTCATCTTGAAGACATCTATGTAATGCATGGTATCTGCTGGGCTTTATAAAAGGCTAACCTTTCTTTGTCTTCACAGTCTCTTAGTAGATTAGATTGGGATGCACATCAAATCTGAATTAATTCTTCAAGAATAAACTTGTTTTCTTTCTCTACTGTCTTTGTGATGAGAATTTCTAGGTTTGAAGACTTTTGTTTTATATTTTGCCATATTTTCTCTGCATGACCAAAGATGTATGAATAAATCCAATAAACACTTCCAAGTGAACCCAAATTAGCAAACTCCCTTAATGCCTGACTTAACAAAATAGTTACGGCTCTATGCCACTGAGATTTCATGGCTGTATGTGGTAAAACTTCATTACAACAATAGGTGATTAACACATAATCACATTTATTCTTGTCACCAAACATCAAAAAGTTAAACAAAACCCTGGGAGTCTGCATTCTCCTGCTCCCCCTACAAACTCTCTGTGAGCTCAAATCTGTCTGCTCAACTGAGTGTCATTTCTAATTTTCATTGACATCTGACCCCCATATCCACACACTGGTACTACTGAAGTCGGGCCATCCTCCACAGCAGTCCTCCCTCCACTGTGACTGTGCTCCACGCCTCCAGCTATGCTCACCTGCAATCCATCCTCCTCTCAGCTGCCACAGTGAACATCCCCAAACTATTCTGCTTAAAATTTCCTCAATTTTGCACCCAAACCCCTTAACACAGTACACAAAGTCTTCCATGACCTGCCATCTTTCTACCTACCCCTTCCAAATTCCTTCTATTTACTTCCCAACTTATACACCCTGTGCCTATCAAGGCCCAACACTCAAGTCCCAGTGAATATCTCTCAACTGCAAATAACCACAATTACCATGCCTCCTGGCACCCAGTGCATCAGCCTCAAGGGCTCTGGGAACCTTCTCTGGTTACCTCCAGTGCCTGCCCGGGTGCATACCTCCAAACCTCCTGACCACCACAGGCAGCCTAAACCACCTCTCTCTGTGCACCCAGTACCAAGAACACGTCATTTCTCCAGGGTTGTCCCCTACTACCACCCTCTCATTCACTCATTTGCCAACCACCATGGGCTCCTCGTGCTCCAGACACGCCAGCCCACTCCTCCCACAGTAGTTTCATCATGCGTGTTCCCTGGGTGTGGAACTCTTCTCCCCCCCAAGAGGAAATCCCTGCCCTCCATTCCTATTTCCTCTGAGTTTTTTCTCAGATCATCAAAAGGCCCAAGCTGAGCCCCTGTATTACACAAAAGCCTTCCCTCCTTCCTACCCCCATATCCTGGCCCCGTGCCTGCTCTACCTGACCGTTTATCCTAAACACTTATCACCTTCTAAATTCCTCTATTAATTCTTGTCCATTTATTTATTTATTGACTCTAGAAAACAAATTCCTCAGGTCAGGGATCTGTTAGGCTCACCCCAGGCGTCCACAGCAGCCCCTGCACATAGCCAGGGCAAGAGGGAGTCTATAGGTTTGTACGGAGTAAGAGAGACAAAATCTGTCTTTCCTGTTCTATAGAATGATGGGGCTGATTTACTTGGTCCCCAAGGTTCCTCCCAACATAATCCTATAACATATAGATTAAATCACCAACCTGCCACCTTCAGCTCCAAATCAGCCTGCCTGTAGACTCTTCCCTTCCTGAAGAAGCAGGTGTACTGCCCGTTGTCGGAGACCCGGACCCCGCGGATGCGCATGGCCACCTCGCCCTGTGCCAGGGAGTCCTCCTCCAGGGACGTGCGCCCCCTGTACAGGACCAGCTGCTCCTCGCTCTGTGCACGACCGTTTTTGTAGCTGAACGCGACCTCTGAGAACTTGGAGCGGAACCACCTCAGCTCCATGTCCCTCATGTTCATGGGGGGCGACACACGACAGGGCAGCTTGGTGTCCCTGCCCAGCACCGCCACGATGGGGTACTTTGGGCTGATCACTCGGAAGTTCTCTGTGGATACAGAAATGGGAGCGAGAAGGCTCAGAGACGCACCTGGGCAGGGGACCATGCCTTGTGCTCGAGGGCCGGCTCAGGGGGCAGGTGTCCCGTGTGAGATGGCCCTGACCCGAGGGAGTGAGCAGGGAGTCTCCCAGTCTGAGGTAGAGCTTCTGGCCCCAACTTTGTGATGCAGAAATGATGTCAGAGGCCCCCACATCTCCCTGTGCACCAGCCCCGGGCCCTTCGAGAAGGACTAACTGTGGTTCTGTCCCGCAGCACTGGAATCACCATCGTTGGGAACCCTCCCCACGGCCCATGGCTCACTCAGAGGGTGCTGCTCAAAGGAGCAGGAGGATGCGACATTAGTGTCCCAGGGACACACGCTGAGAACCACACTCTAGTGTGACCAATTTCAGGGCAGGACTAAAAGTGGCTGAAGAGCTTTCTGTGCTCAGGTGAGAAGTGTGTGGTCCCTCTGCCACCCCAGGGCGCCCCACCCCCACTCTTAATATCTTTCTATTTTTGTTAAGGACCTACCCTCCCATCATTCCCGGGAGCACAAATCTCTGCTTCTGAAAAGTAAGTTTCACCCATGACACCCTCTCAGAACTCTGGGCCTTCTGAGACTAGGTGGACAGACTGACATGGTCTTCTGCAGGGTGAGCTCTGCTGGACTTCACTGGGTGACTTCTCACCTCTCCTGCTCCAGCTTGGCCTGAGCCACCACGAGGCCTCATCTGGAGGACTAGGTAGCTAGTCTCCCTGTCTGTCTCTCCTTACCCTGCATCAGGGACCCTTTACACCTGAAAGTTGTGTCCCTACTCTTCTCAAATCTCACAGTGTCTCCACATTCCCACAGTGACCCACAGACACCATAGGGGTGACTTTCCAGAAACTTTCTGACACACAACACCTCCTTCCCCTCTTCTCTCCCTCTGCTCTAGCTCTCTTCTGTCCTTGAACACCCAGCACCCAGCCAGGCCAAAAAAGGCTGTTCCCTCCATGGGATCGTCACCCACAACTAACTCCACCTCCCCAGGGCTTTGCTCCCATCCCACCATCTACACTGACCCTCCCCCACTTATGGACACAGCGGCCCCCATACCACTCCCTCCCCTACTACCCAACCTGCTCCCTGCCCGTCCCTCCCCTCAGCCCCTCTACAGGTGGAGGTGGGTTTCTTGTCTTTATTATTCACTGTCTTCTGCAAGAAAGCAGCTCTCTGAGGATGGGGACTCTATTTTGTACACAACCCCAAATATGTACCTAATACCTTACAAATATTGGTGGAATTCAATTAATTAATGACTGACAATTGCTTCTGATTTAAAAAAACAAACAGGGCCTCCCTGGTGGCATAGGGGTTAATCTCAGTGCTAGCACCTCCTGCTGCATCCTGAATTCCATCCCCAGTCAGATACCTGACCCACATGGCACAGCAGACCTCTCCTGTCTTGCCTGCCGCTCCCCTCAACAGCGCATTTCAGTAAATCTGCCTGTTCTCCCTACTCTTTCTCTGGCCAATCCTCTCATAGCCCCCACCCCACATCTCTGGGCTGCACCCCAATTCCTCTATGCATATATAAATAAAGCTTTTAAAAAATAATTAATTATTAAAACAAAAAAAACAATCAAAAGCAAAAGGTGGTGGAAAAGGTATTTTTACATTTTTTGACAGGTGACATTTTGAAACAGCATAGACCCCTGACTGAGCAACTGTCATCCCTCCTCCTCATGTGACAGCTCAGTGACTGCTCTGAACTGTGTCATCATACTAGTGCTCAGGGAACATCCCCATCTTTCTAGAGCCAGGGCCCCCACACAGCCATCCTTCCTGAAGGAGGAGCCCCCAGAGCCCCTGGGCCCCATGCACCCAAGGGAGACACAGGGCAGGGAGGGACACACTCACCTTGGGAGCCCCCAGGGGGCAGCTGGAGGAGGAGCAGCAGGGAGGGGAGGAGGCAGAGCACAGAGCTGGGGCAGGAGCAGGGCGCCATCTCCTCAAGGCTGGGGAGAGACAGGACAGGAGGTAGCCAGGCCCACACAGAGGAGCAGGGCAGCCAGGAGCTCTGGGCTCAGGGGAGAGTAGGACCCTGGGACCCCCCCCCAGCACCAACAGGAGACTTTCTTATAGGTACATTATGTTAATAGGAGGAAGAGTAAGCTCACAGCTTTGACACCAAGAAAGGACCGACGAGTCCTCCACTCAGCCCTTCTGGAAGCCTGACTCTAGAGGTTATTAGGTTTGCTTGGGAAGAAAACCCTGCAGCCCTTTCCACACCAATGGCCCCAGACCCCCCCAGACCCCATTTGACCATCCATTCCATTCCCAGCACCTGGGCCCAGGGAACAAACCACTCTCCCCTCCCCATCATCACACCAAGTAACTCACCAGGATAGGGGCCCAGACCCAGGCCCCCATGAAGGACAGGCCAGCACCTGCTTGGGGTCCTGCCCCCCTCAGTGTGATCAGGTGTCCCTGAGAAGCATCAGGACACACAACACTGTCCCCAAGGAGTTGCGGTCCCCCCACAGGCCCCTGTCCTGCTCTGTCTGCTTGTTCAGTTCACCTGTAGGTCAGTCCCTCCCCAGCCCTGACCTGCCAGGGACAAGGATAAGGTCCTGCCCCAAACACACCAGAAACCAGGTGAGATCCCCAGTGAAGGCTTTGACCTCATCCTCTAACTCTGTGGTGATTCCTGCCTCGGGATGAGGGACCTGGTGGGACAGAGCAGCGGAGAAGGGAAAATGAGTCCTACTCAGAGTAAACACCCTCAAACCACCTACTGGCTGGGGGTTGGGGGAGGTAGGTGATGGTCCTGGGAGGACAGATTCTGGGGTCTGATTGTGAGGACCCTCCAGACTCTGCCACTCTCTATTTGAAAATCTTCATAAATTTCCTAAATCTTCCTGCCACACTCTCATCATCTGTAACACGAGAATACTAACAGCATTTCCCTTCCAAAGTTGGAGTGGGAATTACAGGAAGTTATATTTGAACAGTCCCTATATGTCATTAGAACAGGGTCCTGCCCCAGTGAGGGTCACACACACATCATGAGATTAAATGAAGTACAACCATTAGTGAGGTTGTGCTGGCTCTTAGAGTTGTACCTTCCAAGGCCACCTCCCACCCCACTCTAGCCCCATCACATTCTCAGCCCCATCCTTACAGCCAACCGCTCCCCACTTTCTCTTCTTGGTAGACAGATGTCTTTAAAACTTACATACCTATTTTGAAAAAGTGGGGTTTCTAGAGCATCTCTTGAAGCTTGAGAAGTTTCAGGGCTTCCAGCAGAGCCCAAATATTCCTGCACAGTTTACACCTGCAGTAAGTGGCTCAGGAGCCATGCTGGGAGCCAAGGGGCCCTCATGGTTGAGAGAAGGAAGTTCCCAGGAGAGTAAAGAAGCAGAGCTTGGCACAGATTGAGGGGGGTCTGTAAAGTCCAGACCTGGGGCCCCAGTAAAGTGCTCCAAAGAAATACAAGACACGTTCTCAGTCTCCTTCCACTATTTGAAAGTGAAAGCTGAAATGCAATCCCAGCAGCCTCCACCCTGCCCTCTGGACAGTGCACCCCAGTTCTGTTATCAGCAGGGAAAGAGCAGGATCAGAGGAGGGGCCAGCAAAGGGGAGGGGCAGGCACACTGACACCCCTGCAGGCACAGGTGAGGCACCCACCCAGCACCCACTTTTGAGCACCCACTGCACTCCAGGCTGCTTGACTTCCAGGACCAGAAGTAAGGGTGAGTTGGGACCCAGTCCAGACTGACTCTGAGCCCACAGGCCACTGCCTGTGCTGACGGTTACCATACAAGTGACCCCAGATCAGCTGTCACCGCACATGGCAGAGCCTGTGAGGAGCCCCCAGGGGACTTGTTTTCTTCCCCTCACAGCAGCTGACCCAGGAGCCCCACACCCTGGACACCAGGAATCAGCACTGGTTGCCAGGAGCTGCCAGGACCTGGTCCTGCCCACACTGCTTGGATGGGGCCTGCGGCTTGTTCAGATGTTAATTCACCCGAGACCTGGTCACAGTGACAGACCCTATCTTTCCAGGACACGGGGTCACCAGGAAGGTCCAATTCTATGTCCCCAAGGAAACCATGGAGCCTGGGCCTCCCCTCCCCCCTCACTTCCTGCGGCTTCCCCTTCTCAGTGAAGGGCACCTGTGGCCCGCCAGTTATCTCTGCCAGAAACTCCAGGGTCATCTTCACAGTTCACTGTGCCCCACCCAGTCTACTTCCAATGAACCCAGATATTCAGTCCATGTCCATGACCAGACCTACTCCACATCACCCTCATTTTTCAAGGGTCTCCTGTCCCACCTGCTGTCTCACCTCCTCCAGACCATTTCCTCCCAAGGTCATGACTCTCTTAGCCAGCTCATGTCAGTGCTCTGCCTAACCCCTTCAAGGGATTCTTCTGCTTAAAAGAGGGGCTTCAAGGCCTCCCCTCCTTCTCTGAACCCCTCCCATTGCTCTCCCAGGGGCCCCTCCTAGTTAGGTGACTCCTCCAATTCAGGGAACTCTCCCAGCCTCAGGCCTCCTCACAGTCCTGGATGATGCTGCTGCCTCTACTCCCCAAGCCCTCACCTTTCAGGCCTCACCTGAAGTGACCTATTCAAAGGGCCCCCCCAAACTACTGATGTACATTGTGCCCCCACACCTGTCTATTGGGGTTGGGGAACCTGTCACAACAGCCCTGATGTGTATATTCTGGGGAATCATGTGGGGGCCTGGGAGGAGGCCCTGTGAGTCCTGTTCCATGTCCAGCAGGAAGGGCCCTCACCAGCCTCAGCTGAGCTCATCTGCAGAGGAGACACTGCTGCTGCCCATTGGCCCCTCAGCCTCATCTACTCAGAAAACCCCTCAGTCTATGGAGAACACAAGATGTCACTTCTGACCTCAGCGCTAGCCCCTGAGGGACACAGCATCCACCACACTCTCCGGTCTCCTTTCTATCCTCCCAAACATAAAAGGGTCACCAATCACATCTCACTGAGCTGGAAACATTCAGGTCAGCACCTGTGTTTGTCCCCAGGCCTGCCCGGGACTCAGGGTCACCAGGTAGTGACTCTTCCGATTATGGCCCTCACTGCACTTGTGCGGGATTGTCCTCAATTCACATTTTAAACACCAGGTGCTTTACTCCCTCACAGTGTCCCAGCCACACACCAGCATGACTGTCCGTGCCAAGGCTCATTCTCCCCTGTCCTGAAGAACCTACAGTGTTTGTCTTCAGAGAACCAGAATGACTGACCCCTCCTGCTCAGAAATACGCAGACACATGAAATGGCAGTCTGGTTTTGTAACTAGTGGCTGAAGCCAAAGACTGTTACAGGTGGTGCCCCCTGGAGGGGATTGCTGGTGAGGATGGATTGCCCCAGGCACAATGCTAAAAATCATCCCATTTTGGGGTGGAACAACTGATAAGAAATATAAGGGACTGCAGAAGCAGCCCTGGATTATTTGGTGTTCGGGATTCAGCCTTTGAGCATTCAGTGTTTGAGGATCTTCAGAGATTCCTGGGTCAGTGATCTCTGCCGCCACCATGTGAATCTTCCTGGAGGCTGTTGCAGGCCTCTGAAGGACATAGAGTGGCCTCCAGCAGCCAACCTCAGAAAGGAAAAGCTCGGAGGCTTTGCAGGTAGCCGAGAGACTGAAACTGTTTCTGGTTCTCCTGCTGGTACAGCCTGGCAGAGAAGGCAAAGACCCGGAGCCGGGAACCTCGTTGAGCTGTGTGTGTGGCCATTTGTTGGGTCGTTCAGCCATTGCAGCCGGTGTTTTGAGTGTTGCTTGTCTGTGTTGCTCTTGAGCATCTCGGCAGCTCCAGGGAGCATCTCCTGTTGTGTCTTCTGTTGTCTGCATGAGTTGGATCCTGACCTATTGTCTGGCTACTACATGTTCCAAGTCTGCAGTGGTGGGAAGATGCCTTATTAGCTCCTTTTAGAACTTGAAAACACTGACACTAGTTTGGGTTAGGTAAATGGCCATTTTTGGCCTCAGTAACTCTTTGTTTTTCCCCTGGATTGTTGAATAAATCCCATTATTGTTATTCTATGAACCTGAGCAGTCTTGCAATTGTGCAGCTCAGTGACTGCTCTGAACTGTGTCATCACACTAGTGCTCAGGGAACACCCCCATCTTTCTAGAGCCAGGGCCTCCACACAGCCATCCTTCCTGAAGAAGGAGCCCCCGGAGCCCCTGGGCCCCATGCACCCAAGGGAGACACAGGGCAGGGAGGGACATACTCACCTTGGGAGCCCCCAGGGTGCAGCTGAACAAATCAGACAGTGACAAACGAATTGGGCAGTGTTCTTGGACAATTTTAGTTCCCCTTGATGCCCTGTATCAGTTTGAGATGTTAAAATTCTGGAAAAACTCAGGATTTCTGGATATACCTGAATATACCCCACTTTGCCGGAAGCCAGCTCCAGCAAACTGTCACGTCAGGGGTTCATGTAAGGACTAGACGGCATGGACAAATCTTAGGGAGTGAGGGGGAAGGGGAATGAGGAGACAGGAACACTTGATCAGGGTGCAAGTATCTCCTGCTGAGGGTCTCAGCAGCCCTTTATAAATTACAAGCAAACCAGTTGGAGTACATAAGCATATGTATTAAAGCAGGAAGACAACAATCATCACATCTTTTCTCAAGAACAGCCAGGGGTCTATTTGCCCTCCTGCAGAGGTTGTAACGTTTGTTATTCTTTGTTTTGAAGAAGGCACAGTTGCTAAACAAAAGTGTTCTTAGAATAGTCATTTATCTTAAACAACCAATCACCTTATTACTAGCAAAAAAAAAAAAAAAAACTTATGTGACAGAAACTGTTATAGGACAGCCCCTATATTGAACGGTTCCTGGCTGTGGGTCTTCACCCGCGCGCTTAAAAGGGACTTATTAATACTCCACTACAGACACACACAAAAGGTTAATGAAAGCTTTATTTATAAGGGAAAAGGAAATAAGGAAAATGTACAACTCAGGGAGAAAATAGGGAAATAAAGTCTTCAATGCGTCCTACCCGATCCGCCGACCTGGAAACCCAAAGTCACTCTCAGAGCAGGCCGGACGCTGCTAGCTGGTGGAGAGCCAAAATGGGGGACCCCCCCAAAGCCCACGTGTCTGCCTTTATATCACCTGGCTGCTTAACCCCACCCTCAGGTCCCAGCCACCTTCCCTTTGGTGTTGATAGGATTTGGAGTTCTCAGTCTTTGGCTTTGGCCTGGGGTGGAGGTGGAGTCCACAAAGACTGTATGGAATTAGCTTTAGAACATTCTTTTCCCCCTAACAAAACTAACATTTCTATGTTTGCCATAGTGCTAGGATGTTTGTTTTTCCCAGTGGAATTGGTTTCATTTCCTTGCTTGTCCTTATCTCTGAAGCCTCCCTAAATTCTTCAGAGGTCCCCTCCTGCACTGTCCCTAAAACTGCCTAATAAACCTAGCTTGCCCTCACCTGGAGGCCATCAAGCTCCAAATGGTCCTTCAAATGAAACCCAAAATGACGTCTCCACAGTCCATCTTCCGGGGTCCCTTAGATCGTCACCCTGCTGTGGAGCCCTGATTGTCTCCCCACGTCGCCCACTTTCAGTAGGAAACAGTCATTGATAAGACCTGCGTCCTTTTCCCTAACCGCAGTTAGGGCTGCATTCGTAGAAGGGGGGAATGACAGGGCAAGCTAGGGTTATTAGGCAGTTTTAGGGACAGTGCAGGAGGGGACCTCTGAAGAATTTAGGGAGGCTTCAGAGATAAGGACAACCAAGGAAATGTAACCAATTCCACTGGGAAAAACAAACATCCTAGCACCACAGATAATCTTGTTAAGGATGGTCCTGGTTTTCTTCAGATGATAAGATAAAGTGTAAAGATGCTCACCGGGAGGGCTAGACCATAAAGATAAAGATGCAACAAATGGGGAAAGACAGACCTGTTAGGTAAGGAATGTGAAGATCCCCCACTCAGTAGCAGATTAAGTGAGACAGCCGAGAACTAACCAATCACAAAGAGACTGGTGGAGCTTTAGAATAATGAGGGAAAAAAAGGTATATATTCCCTGAGACACGACTCCACTTTGGCTTCCTTGCCCCTCCCAGGCCTGGTTCCCTGGCCCAGGCCTGGGAGTCCCACTTTATTTCTGCTCTTTTTCTCCTCAATAAACTTTTTTTTTCTCTAAACAAACCTGCCTCTTTTCGCTTGCTTGCCTGAGAGTCTGCGAAGTTCCTGCTGCGGCTTCATGAGACACCAACCCGTGGGGGGTCTAGCTGCTGGGGCTCAGCACTGCCCTGCAGCCTGGAATCCGTTCCTGGCTGG